AAATGTATATGTGACCATCATACGAACCTTAAAGATTATTCTTATTATTTCTTAGAGTGAAAATCTCTAAAGCAATGTGGTCTTGCCTTAGAGGCACATAGCGGAACTTTGCATTTGGTACACCATAAATTGCTTTGTGGAGGGTTATCAGAATTAATACTTTTTTCACCACATTGCACTAGATAACGACAATAAATGCAAGCCTCTCTTTTTTTTACCCATTCAACTAGATGGTCACCATCTAATAAGCGTGTTAAGGGTAGTTCAAAATTTTTATTTACGACGATTCGTTTTCCCTTTGATAGAGCTTGAAGATCTTGCAGTTCTTTTTTTTTTCCATCATCTAAAGTATCTCTGATCAAATCCCAAGCTAAATTGATTCTAAAATCTTTACTTAAAATTTTTTTTTTTTTTTTTTTTTTTAATGTTAAAGGTGAGACCATGCTCTTATCTTTATTATACTTGAAATATTTGAATTAGCCGCTTTACAATAAATAATTACACAATTCACAAGAACAGTATCTAATATCCAAAAAAATAGAGGGAGCCAAGTGCGCCTAACAGTTAATTGACAGTTGTAATACTCACGAAGTTGGTCAGCGATATTGACACCACCCATGTTGTGGTTGTAATCATCGATTATTCGTGAAATCTCCAATTCTTTACAAAATTTATTCCCAAAAACCCGATGTACCGTATTTGCATTTGAACTCGTTTTACATGGTTGTTGTCGATTACGAACAACCTTCCAACTTTCACTAGAAATTTCATGAATAGTGGTTAATATAGTCACTGGGCTATTATCTATCCAAAGAATAGCCAAAACATCATTAACTACCTTTCCCATAAGTGTGTTTCAATCTAATGATTCTTTACCAATTTTTAATTCTTTAGGGAATCTAGCTGAATTCGTACGAGTGGTACCGCAAGCGCCAATACCATTTTCACATAAGTGTTTGAAAGCGGTATACTGGAAAAGTAGTTATCCATATATACATGATACATTTTATTAGGAAGCATATAGGTTAAATGCACAACCAAATATCCATTATTGTTAAGACCGGAAACAAATTCTATCAGGTTATCTTTTTCAACTCGTGATGTAAACACAAATGCCCAAGTATAACCGTAATCACAAAGTGAAATGATCTTGTACCCTTCTGGGGTCGGCTTATTTTTTATTCTTACCATATGAACGCTTCGCCCAGAAAAACATACTATCATTTTATCAAGCGATATATTCGAACTAGGAACATAAAATTTTTTAATTGCGCTTTGAATATGGGATGCAAAAGGTTCTACCAGTGTAGGTAGGGTTGACCTGGTGTTGAAATATGAAAAAATCTTTTGATTTGTTTGAACCTATATAGAGACATAAACCTTTTGATTTCATGGTTTGCCTTTTTTCATCCTGATTCTATAAATCTTCCATTGCATTAATCTGATAAACCCCCATGTAAATAATTAGTCCAAGCCAAATTTTTAATTCACTTAAGGTTAGTGGATTCCAAACACGACTGCCCTCTCTACCCTTTACTTGCTCATATATATTGGTATTTTCAACCATTAAACGCAGTTGCTCATTAGTAAAAAACAATTGAAAAAGTGCAAGTGGAGTTATGATGCCTAACTGATATTCATGGGGAAGTGTCACGTAACTTCTGTGAAGTAGATGATAATTTTGGATAGTATCAAAGGTAGGTAATTCTAACGGTGTGAATTCTGGATTTAAATTGCTATCACTTCCTTTTCCTTTACTCTTCCCCCTTCCTCTTCCTCTACCAACTCCCCTATCTCTTCCTCTACTCCTTCTCCCGATGCTCACACCCCTACTTGTACTTCCCTCCAATTCTTCTACATGTTCTTGTTCATTTATTAAATTATTGGTAACTTTTACCAGTTCACAATCAATAATTAGCTCGCCATGGTTATCATGTTCGAAAGTAATTACATATTGTGGGCCAGAATCATTATTAGAGGTAGTATCATCAAGAGATATGAATAGCGATTTTTTTTTAAAAAAAAATAAAAATAAAAGAATAATTGCAATATATCGTAACTTTATTATTTATTTTATTTATTTATTTAAAAAAAAAAAAAAAAAAAAGAAAAGAGTGATGCTTGAGATATTAAGTGCTGCACTTGTCCAACAAAAGATATATTAGCGAAAGCAAAAAAAATAAAAAAAAAATAATAAAATAAAACAAAATAAAAAAACAATAAGTCTAAGTAAAAAAATAAGTCATTAACTACCTCAAAGGCTAAGGGCGCAACTACTTGCACAGCTATGATTCCCAGATTTTTATGTTTAATTTTTACTATTTGGCAATCTTCAAATAGGGAAACAAAAATGCATGAACGTTTTAAGTGTTGCTATATAAAAAATACAAAGAACGAAAAGAAAGGCTAAATACATACATACCTATGCGTGCATACTTTTTATTTCAATAATTCTTGTACGTACATATGTACGTACAAGAATGTCAATCCCGAAGATTTGTCAATTTCTAATATCGTGTTGTACCGTATTCCAGGCAAATTTGTCTGAAAAAATTTTTTAAATGATGACTCAGGTTCTTCCAATTTAGGGTTAGTCAAAAGATTTGTCAATTTCTAAAATCGTGTTGTACCGTATTCTAGGCAAATTTGCCTAGAAAAAATTTCAAATGACGACTCAGGTTCTTCCAATTTAGAGCTTGTTGATCCCAAGATTTGTCAATTTCTAAAATTGTGTTGCACCATATTCCAGACAAATTTGCCTGAAAAAAATTTACTCTCAAATGATGACTCAGGTTCTTCCAATTTAGAAAAATCATGCATTAGAGGGGTTTTTACTTAATGCGATTTAGTGTTACAATAAAAATTATTACTTGATTTAGATTTTCCAGGCAAATTTGCCTGGAATACAGATTAAGGGATAATATAAATAAATCGTGTAAAATAAAAAAATTATTGTAGGTTCAAAGATTTTTAGTCTTCGTATGTTATGCATATGGGCCAATTTTTTTGATTCTGTAGATCCTTGTCTATCAAAACACTCAAAATTGCCTTATTTGGGTTTAATTCTGGTCGAATATGCAGATTATTCGGCCTGGGGGATGAGTTTTATAACTCATCCCCCAGGCCGAATGATCTGCATATTCGACCAGAATTAAACCCAAATAAGGCAATTTTGAGTGTTTTGATAGACAAGGATCTACAGAAATCAAAAAAATTGGCCCATATGATTACCCAATCAGAGTTGTATTTACTTTATAAACTGCTATACAAAAAAGATTAACAATACATATCATATAATAAATAATTTATATACATTCTACTTTTAATGTTTTATTAACTCTAGATACAGATTATCAATTTTGATTGGCTAACAGCTAAGGATCTTCAAAATTTTGGCCTGTATTATATAATTGTTTACTAATTTCCGGCCACTTTAATTTTTTTATTACTAAAATAAAAATTTTTAAAAAATAAGCTGTATTATAATAAAATTGACTCAGAAACAATTTTCACTTAGTAGGTAGCTACAATTTCATTAGTAAAATTATGAATAATTTTAGCCTAGTTTAGTGTTACAAGCTGGCTAGGGTAGCTACAGCTAAGGCAGCTTAGCTAGCTAAGCCAGCTAATATAATATTATTAGCTAGCTAATATAGCTTAAAATCACATAGCTTTAAGTAGTATAATTTAGGCCAGAATAATAATATCAGCCAGAATTAAATAATAGAAAGCAAGAATCTAAAAATTTCCAAAAAGAAAATAAACTAATATTGAAAATAAGCAAGGTTGAGAAAAATTTTTAATATTCTCTAAAAGTAAAAACTTTAGCTTTAACTATTAGTTAGCTACCAAGCTAAATTTTTTATCAGCTAGCTAAGCTAGCTAATAAAAATCTTATAGCTTGTAACACTAGTTTTAACTATCATGTTATATCTAATTTTAATTTTAATTGATCAAAATCACAGAAATAAAAATTTTTTTGTAGGATGTTTAATAGATACCTAGTAATATATATTACATTATAACAAATTAGAAATATTTTTCAAAACATAGTAAATACTACTTTACAGAAACTAGCTATTTTTTTCAATAGAGTTAAGATCATCTTAATGATATTAATACAATTATTAAAATTGTACCTTATAATAATTTTATAA